AAGCAGAATTTGGTTTTGTGCTTCAGGCAGTAGGGTTATGAGCTTGTACCAGATGGAGCTTTTAAATTTTCATCAGCAGGTTTATAAACACAAGAGTATCTATCCTTTTATCTGCCCCCAGCTCTTTTACTAATTAGTTACAAATGCTGAACTTCAATTAGCATGGAGTGGAGGAACAGATGAAATAATATACATTCTTCCTCATGATTATCCATCATGTGAGAATGAAATAGACATTAATAATGACAGTTTCAGTTTTTCGGGGCTTTTCTATTGGTGCTTCCCCCTCCCCCCCCTTTAATACTCAGTAGTATAAATGAGTGAAAATAACTAAAAATAATGAGCCAGATTCTCTGGTGATGAAATTCTATTGCAGGTAAAGAGTGAGAGTTTTCAGCCTTGCTCATCTTAGCCTTGATGTAGGTGTACCTGACACCTACACCCTGACCCCTGTAGGTGTTGGGCCAAGCCAACACAAGGATGTGTGACAGCTGTGTTGTTAAGTTTGTCATGGAAGGATTTTACAAAGGCATTTATAAAACTACATTTTTCCTACTGCTGAGAGGTGGCCAGAGAGGTCTAGGCTTTGAAGCAACACTATTGTGTGTTATGAGAGAATCCCAGATTTTCTGAGGGGTGCATGTGCATGGAGAGGCAGAGGGATTGATGAGTTGAATGCTGTCTTTGCATTTAACAGCAGGTTTGCTGGCCTACAACATGTGCTTGTGTGCTCCAGCTGAGAAGCTCTTTCTGGGCCCTGCAGGCATCCTGCTGCTGTGCTTGTTCCCTGTGGTTTATAAATCATTCAGGAGATTTGCACCTTTCAACAGCAGTACCAGCTCTTTAGAGGGTATCAAGGAAGGATCTCTACCTTAACTGATAACTTTGAGGCAGGAAAAGGTTTGAGTGTACTTTCAAACATTGGTCTTGGCACACAGTTTGAGAATTTATTGGAAAATTGTCAGGAAAGCTGAGGAAAGGCAGCACTTTGTGAGGTATAGATTGGATCTGGGAATTCTTCATCCACCTTTTCATGTCACAGAATCATAAAATGCTGAGGGCTTGGAGTGGACCTTGAAGACCATGTAGTCCCAACCCCTGCCATGGATAGGGACACCTCCCCCTAGATCAGGTTGCTCAAGGCCTTATCCCAGCCTGGCTTTGAGCACTCCAGGGCTGGGGCATCCAACCCTAGTGGCTATCTTGTCTTAAGAAGGCTTTGCTGGAAAAGTAATCCACTAGGAGGATAGGGCCTACTGTTGGGAAATAGGGATGCATAAATCTGAACCAGTAACTGAAGGAAAACTGTTCTCACAATAATAATAATAATAATGAAATATGGTCTGACTAATCACACCCCAGAGTATACCCCTGAGACACTTACTGGTCACTTTGGTGGGGTGTGCTTCAGCATAAGGATGTCAGCTTTGTGGGCCATACTGACCATGGAATAAAAAGCATAGAATCTCTGAAGTCAGAAAAGACCTTTAAATCATTGAGTCCAACCATAAACCTCACACTGCCAAGTCCACCACTGAGCCTTGTCCCCAAGTGCCACATCTACATGTTGTTTAAACACCTCCAGAGATGGTGACTCAGCCACTTTCCTGGGCAGCCTGTTCCTGTGCTTGGCAACACTTTCTGTGAAGAAATCTTTCCTAATACCCAAACCTAGATGGTAGGAGAAAGGCAAAGCAGCATTGCTAAAGTCTCCCCTGACAACATGAAACCAACAGAATTTTTCTTTTCCCGAGTCATGCAGACTTGGTGTGTGTAGCTGGAGGCAGCTGCTGCTCTGTCACAAAATGTCGACGTGAGCAGGAGGTAGCAAAAAGCCAGCACAACCCGGGGGTCTGCAATTGCCACAGGAGTCTGAGTCCAAGTGCCACTTGATTGAATTATCAGAGATGCATGAAGCTTCAGTTCTAACTTACATAGGCTGAGGGGTTATTGAGGAAAAATGAACACCTTCTCTGATCTGCCATTCTGATGCCATAACTCACTGTTAAAAGAAGGCCACCAAGATTTTCTTTGTACTGCATTGGAAGTGGCACATTGCAAGGGGAGGGAAAGTTCTATTTTAAATTGCATAATCAGAGCTGAAGTGCAATTGAGAAGAGAGATCAAAGATAGGAAGTAGGGATAGGAAGAAAGAGATGAGGTACAGTGTGTCTGCGCAGACAGCTTAATTTCACGTTAATGAACCTCTGCTTAGGAAGGGAAAGGTGGCTCTCTGTACCAGGAGAGAAAAACAGCCTTCTGCCACCACATGAGACTCCCTTTGAACATGGTCTCCTACCAAAATGAAGGACTGCACTCAGCTTCACATTTCACAGAATTAGAAAAGACCAAGCTATTTTCTGACTGCCTGCATCCTGCTTATGTAACTTGCAGATGACGGCTGTGCAACCTCTGGCTGAGCCCTGGAAAATTTCCTTGTCGGTGACTCAGGTGCTTGGCAAACAGTCTGGTGCAGTGGGCTTGGAGATGAGATTGCAGTCAGAGGCACTACCTGGCTACCAGAGCTCAATTCAAGGTCTCTTTGTGGAACTTCTTCCTCCTAGAAGCTTGCTGATCGTCCTGGTCTTGTCACTGCCAAGTGTCCCTGTTGTGCTGTGTTAATTAGTGCAGAGCATCTCCCTTGATTGCTCTGAAGCAAGAGAAAACTACAGCCCTGACTGTTATCCAGAGATGTGGGTCAGCAAGGAAGGAAGAGAAGAGCTAGGCAAGAACAAGTCCTTGGCCTTTGCATTAATTTTATCCATAGAAATTCCATCAGGGTGTGGGGAAAGCGTTTAGTGCAGCGGGGCTGCAAAAGTGGGATTTCATGGGGAAGCACAGAGTCCCCCTTTGCAGTTCTCATTCTGAAACTCCGTGCAGTCAACAGAGCAGTGTTGGTTTGGAGGCTGTGAATCTGGCTGAAAGCTGGAGGTCAGGAGTGCACATTGTGCTTGAGTAAAGTTGAGAACTATTAAAATTTAAGGATTAGACCCAGGGATGAGGGAAAAAACTGAAACAGATGCAGAACTGTCTCAGCTGCAAACCAGACTTCCTTGTGGGTCAGCTGTCATCTCCAGGAGCAGCAGATCCTAATTTCCACCTCTTTGGAAGTGTAACTGAGAGAGATCTGTGCCACCAAGGCTGGGACAACTGTGAGGTACCCAAATCAGCCCATCTTACACCAATCTGTGCAGGAAGGCCCTGTGGCAGCCCAGCTGTGTTCAGAGCAGCACTTGGTTTGCTCATGCAAAGAGCCTGTTTGCCAGACTGCAGTGGGAGGGGGACAGAAAAAGACTTTGCCACAGGGAGGACCTGGTGACTAATGAGTTTCATTGATCCTCTTCTTGCAGGAGAGAGCAATCCATCATCTGTGGCTCCTGCGGGCTCTTCTGCTGAAGGCTCTGAGGGAGCAAACGTGAGCTGTTACCCAAAAGCAGGGCTGTGTGAGCCCTCTGAACCTAATGATGCTGTGCTCTCATGGATGTATGAACGTGATGGTGCAGAAGATCCCAGCATCAGGGACTCTGTGGATGGCTTCTACAAAATGTATTGCAGAAAGCAGCCAGAGAGAAAGGATCCGACCTATGAGGCTGCCTCACAGCGTCTGTCACAGAAGATTTCAGAGCTGGAGCAAAAGGACGGAACAAAATATGTGTCACGTTGCCTGCAAATGGCACAGTTGGTCTTGAACAGAGATGGATGTAAGATCTTTCCAAACCACCCCCCTTCTGCTTGCTTTTCAAAGCCAGCTGAAGGAGAAGTCTTGTTGGAAAACAGGAGGAGGACACCTGGGCTCTCAGATGACATCCTGCAGTTCCTCTTGAAACAAACACAGGCAGAACGTTGCCCTGATGTGTCACACGAGAAGTGAGCAAGACACTGCTTTGTTTCTATCATGGAAGCTTTGCTTTCACTCCAGAAAGAGGTGACTTTCTTAGATAGACATTGTTCTCCAAGCACCACCTTCAGCACCAGATGCTCCGTGGAGGGGTTCACCCACACCAGACCTTGCACCTTGCTCTCTGAAGGGCAGCACTGCATAAGGAGCATCTGTATAACTGCTTGGGGTGTGTTGGCTGATTGGGAGGGGTCATGCAGTGTTTGTTGCTGGGACATCAAACATGATACTTTATACCAGGCTTTTGAATTGGCCTGCATCCTTACCCCAGGTTAACAGTGGTCCAGCCCAAATCCAGCCCCTGGGTGGGCATTGCTGTCCAATGCTGCTGGCTAGAACATAATGTTTGAATGACCTTGGCATGGTGTGCCCCAGCCCTGCAGAGGGAAAGTTAAGATTTTGTTCTGCACATTTGTTTCCACAGGGTGCCTGTTAGTGCTGTGTTTTTACCTACAGACATATAACCCCACAATTCAGGACTGCAATGCCATGTGAGTTTTTCTGACAGAAAACGTGTATGTGTGCATGAGAAAGAGAAAATACAGCTCTGAGTGCTCTCTGACAGTGCTTCTGTCCTATTTACCTCCCCACCATTACCCCCCCAACAACCTTCAGTTCCTTTCTGACTTTCATGGTGTTGCTAATGAGATCCCTGGGGGAAACTTCCCTTTAAAATGAAATGGATCTCTCTGAGCCCAAAGAGGGCTGATGTCAGTCAGCAACAGAGCAATGAGCCCACACACAGACAGTTAAGGTTTCTCTCTCAGAAGCCTCCCAGCTCGGTGGCTTCTTTGTTGCTTTACTGCCTCTGCCAGGCAGATAAATGTCTTTGTGCATGTTTTCCATCCGCTTGCCTGTGGACTGAAGGAGCAGTTTGCTGTAGTGATGTTGTTTGCTGACTGGGGAGGCCATTCTCCAGTGTGGGTGTGAGCAAGGAAGCACAGAGTGCCAGAGGAAGGGATGTGTTTAAGATGATAGCAGATGAGGAAAGGAAAGGAAAGGAAAGGAAAGGAAAGGAAAGGAAAGGAAAGGAAAGGAAAGGAAAGGAGAAAGGAAGAGAGAAAGAAAGAGAGAAAGAAAGAGAAGAAAGAAAAGTAAGTTGGGAAAGAAAGAAAGAAAAGAAAGAAAAGTAAGTAAGTTGGGGTCTCAACATCAGTGTGGTTGCTCCAGTACAGTCACAGTGCTCACACCAGTTTTGGTGTTTGATGTCCAGTATTTGCCAGCCAGCTGCAAAGCTCTCATCCACTCCCTGTCCACACTGGCCAGATCTCAGAGTGGGTGCTTGTGTTCCTGCCTGCCACATTCCCTGCTGCAGTCCCACATGCGGCTGCTATTCCTGCCTTGTTGCCCCTGGCAGATTGGCACAGCTGCTGTGCTCTGCAGGTGTTTCCAGCAAAGGCAATGGAAATTTGGCTGCTGCCTTCAGTCAGAGCAGGAGGGAGCCCAGCTGGCTGCAAGTTATGGCCAAAGTCTTAGGACTTGGTTTAATTTCTCTTTGCAAATAGATTTACATTGGAAAGTGCCTGGGTTTAGTTTCCTGTCCTTGAGTCATCATGGAACCAATACATTTGGCTTTGTGGTGGTCCTGCTCTGTGTGTTGCTTGCTTGCTTTTATGGCAGAGGTGTTGTATGTGTGCTGAAGGGCACACAGACTATTGGAGCAGACCTTCAGCTGCTCCCCCAGCATTACTCAAGTTAATGGTGCAAAGGGGAAAAAAGGAGGTGAGGATGCAGCATCATTTCTGTAGTAGCAAACAAACCCACAGGTGCTTGTGTATCAAAATCCAGATGAAAACATCCTGCTGGCAAAAGCTATAGAGAATGGTAATATCAGCTAGTTTAGCCACAGATACAGCTGGAAAAAGCAAGCATGCTCCTGAGTGTGCTGTCAGTAATTACAGTAGCATCACTGGCCCCTCTGCCAGCTCACACTGCTTAACTCCACGGGTCTGTCACAGCCACAGGGGCACTGGTATTGACAGATGTAGGGAGATACTGCTAAGGATGTACAGGGAAGAAGGAAGGTCTTCACTGTGAATCAGACGTTGTTGCTTTTAATCTTTGCCAGCATTTATGCTGTTCCACAGTTAAATTAGCTGCTGTGTAAAACCTCTTAACTGCCATTTTAGGGGAAGCAAACTCCCATGAAGAGAGAGATGGAGAAATCAGAGGTCTGCATCTGAATCCCTTTAGTTGCTGTATTTGGTTTGTTGTTGAATTGGTCAGTGCTTTAGGTTAGCTTGAAAACTATCTGGTCTCATATTCAAACTTTAAAAAAATTATTTTAATTTTAAAAAAAAGCCAAAGACATTCAATTTCCATAAAGAAAGCTTGCAGAAAATAGGAAGTTCCTGCTCTTCAAGAGAGACCTGCTGCTACTGATGTTTGAGACATCCCTACTGGGTTTTGATGGAAGAGAGAAGAAGCTTGGAATGACAAAATAGAGAAAAGGTGGCTGCTGGAAGAGCATGAAGAGAGATACTGGCAGATGAGAGCATGAAACTGTTCAATTTTAAGGACCAACGTAGGCAGAACAGACTGGAAGCAGCTGAAAAATTTGGATTATGACTCATATCTACAAATCTTGTCTGGCATCTTGCAGAGGACATGGTAATCTCTGTGCTGCTGAAACATGCAGTCTTTTGATATGTTTGCACCCCTCAGAATCAGGAGTGCTGCAGCTCTGTGTGCTGCTCACTTCCAGTGGCTCATGGATATGACTATCCATGGCTTCCTCAAGGTAAAATGACAGTCTTTTTGCATGGCAAGTACCAAGAGTGGTACTCTTGAAATACCATGAAGCCCTCACAGAAATGTCCCTTGTTCTGTCCATTTCCCCCCAGCCTGCGCCCTAATCTGAGAAACTGAGTTTATTCCTGAGAGGTGAAGTGCCTTCCTCTCTCCCTGGTTTGCACTTGACTTAGTTTTGACACTTGGGTGGTTTCAGCTCACCCTATCTCCCCAGCACTGGTGGTTCTCACCTCTGCTGGCAAAGCCAGCTGCTGTCACCTCTCTTCATCCCCTGTGTGTGGAGGCTGCTTTAGCAAAGGCATTTGTGGGTTTACACTACAGAACAAATCCAAGGGGTGTGTTTTCCTTCTGTTTGTTCGAGGCTCACAGCCGAGGAGCAGCTCTCTGAGCCTAACTTAGAGCAACACCTGAAAACCCACACCGCCTTTCAGGGCTCTGGATATGCAAAATCCTGCAAGATCCTCAGCTAAAGTGTGTAAGTGAAGTAAAAGATGGGGAATCAGTCCCATAACGTAGGACAAGCAAAGCCAAAATTGATCCCCTATTGCCAGGTAGGAGGAACACAGGACATGGTGAGGACTTGCCCTGGCCCAGGGGTTTCCCTGCTGCACAGCCCAGATCCAAATCCCACCCAAGGTCTGTTAGAGGTGTGTGTGCTGTGGGTTGGGTGTTTGGCACCTGAGCTGGAGCAGCACCCCAGTGTCTCAGAGGGGTGAGGGTGCTGCTGCAGGCCCTGAGCCCCTGCCCATGCACTCCAGCCACAGGAGTGGCCTTGGGGCTCAGCCTAGGACCAGGTCTGGCAGGCTGAGAGAGCTGCCTCTACTCCCTTCCATAAATGCCTGATCCAAGCTCTTCTGTCATCCTTGCTGAGCCCTGCTGCTGTTAAGTCATTCCCTGGCTGGGAGCTGCTCCAGGACGGTTGGTATCAATGGCCTCTCTGCTGCTTACTCTGACAGCATTTTTATTTTCCCTCCCACACGGCTGCTGGTGGGAGGTGCTGATTCATGCCAGCGACCTACCCAGTCCTGGAGCCCAAAGGCAGCCAGGGAGAGCTGAGCTCCTGCCACAGGTGCTAAAGCAAGCCCTCAATGAAGTGAATGGAGCCAGGGCTGTTTATACCACGGGGAATTTTTCCCCCAGGAGTTTAAGGTGCTTTGGTATGCCTGGATGTATCAGGACATATGTTGTTAAAACTGCTATATGACAGGCAGTGTACATCCTGTATAAATGTGGCTATTTCATTACTGAGCATTGGTGATTTTGTGTGGGGCATATGTTTTCCCACAACAAAGAAGTTCATTTTAAAAATACCCTATTCTGTAGGCTTTCCCTAATGACTATTTTCCCCCACACATCGATTAGGCAACAGCATATGCCAGCATTTCTTCCTTAAAAGTAAAATCTGGCACAGAGCACACAGAGCATGAAATAATAAGATGTGATTAAAGCAATAGCTGGAGCTAACCAAAGCCAGAAAACTTGTGGCTGAAAGGTCAAACCTTTTTTTTTAAATTGCCTTTGCAATGGCCTGTTTGTTTGCAGATGCTGGGATTTGGGAGGGAAAATCTTGTAATGAAAGAACAACTCACAGAAAATTTCACCTTCAGTAGAAGCCAAACAAACTTTCACTTGCATTGGAAGGTAGGTTCTTGTAATCAGAAATGTCAGTCAGCCATGGGGCAGGTATCACTTTCCAGTGTTACCTGCATTGCTGTGAGAGGTGAGCCAGGAATGCTGCTAAATGGGTGCTAAAATCGGCACCTCCCGGCCAGAGAAGCAGGGTGATTCTGTAATTAAGGATACTGAGGTGGGGATGCTGTGCCCTGCAACACATTTTCAGTGTGACTTCCACCAGTTAGTTTTTTCTAAATTGCCAGCAGCTTGTTTTGGGTATTTGAGAGCTTCAGAGAAAGAGTGGAAAGGCAGGGCATTTACACCCACGTCTCTAATAGCAATTCCTCTCAATACCCTGCAATTAGGTGTTCAAACAATAATAGAGATTTTGCATCTGTGGTCCAGGCCCCCTGTTTAAGAAGCAACTCAGCGCTCAGTGTTCTGTGAGGCCAGCTTGGTTTTGTTCCTTGTTTTTGCATCTTCCCCGGGTCTGACTGGTCCCTGGGACAAGTTGAGCACCACATGATAACCGTGTGAGTGCAGGCAAGTGCCGTGGCTGGGTTCTGTCTCTGGGAGTGTTAATGCTGCTTGTCTGGTGTTCAAGAATAGTCTGGTTGCACGTGAATTAGTAGGAAAAAAAGTTCTTCTGGCATGAGGAGACACACTGCTGTTTTGAGGGCTGGGGGAGTCTTTCCAAAGGCAGCAGTGAATTAGGCTGAAAATGCAGTGGTGTGCTGGACAATCATCAGAGTGATGCCTGTGCCACTTCCTCCTATTCCCATTCCCATGGGGTGCTTCTGCAGCTGATTTTTCCCCAAAAAAATCAGTCTCAGTGTGCCTCACCTGAGTGCTGGCGAAGCCACCCACTGCGGCTCTTTCTTATATCCAGGGTAGCAGAGTCTCTTTCAAGGTCTCTTTTCCTGTTTGGATCACCTTCCCACCATCAGGGTTAGTAGACAAATTTACACAGATGGAGCATCTTCCTGCTATTTTCATTTCCCAAGGCTGCCTTTAAGGTTAAGCCGTTTAAGGTTTTTTGATAAACACACAGCATTTCACACAAAGGGCCTAAAAGTCTGTAAAATCGGGATATGCAAAAGGAAAAGGATATTCTAAGGGGAAAAGATGCTAGCAAAATATCCTCCTGCATTTTGTAGGTTCTACTCTCTGTTTCCTAGGCTTTTTTTGCACTTGGGTATTGTTCTTTGTGCCAGTGGCGATTCAAAAAAAAGGTGATGGAAAATTTCTAGGGTGATTCCTTTTGCTGTGTGAATACTGCTATCATAAAATAGATCTCTCAACACTGTTTTCAGTCTGCAATTATGTGCAAGGGCATAATTCAGTTATATTTTTAGTACATAAATTGTTCAGTAATAAAAACTTTATTCTGAAATCATTACAGTCTGTTGCAGAAATCTATATGTTTTTATGCTACAAAATGGAAATTTGCCTCTGAAATTTCCATGACACTATCAACCACAGAACAGTATTGTTCTTACCAAACAGAACCCTTGCTGAGAGTCAAAGTGCTATAAATATTTAAAGAAATTAATTACTAAATAAGCCAGAGTAGTGCCCCACTCTTCAAATATTAAATGGAACATGCACAGTTGACAAAAAGGAGGCAGAAACACTGAATGGGGCAATTTAGTGGCCTAAATGTAATTATTTGCAGTGCAAAGACAACTATTAAAGTAATTTTTGCTTAATGACAAACAGTACTCAAAATATGAGGCCTTAAGTGTCCACATTCCACTTGCTGAAAGAAATTTCTATCCTGTTTCTTATTCTCCTACAGAGGCCCCAGAGTTCACCAAGGAGGTTAATTAACCAGTGTGAGTAAAAAAAAAGGTTTTCTTTTGGGGTAGCACCTGGGTGTGCAGCTCAGCCGTGCCCAGCCTGCAGGGGGAGATGCTCCAGCAATCTCCAGCTGCTCTCTGGGCATCAGCTGTCTGGGAACTCCAGTGCTGCAGTGATGCTAATCCTCCAAAAGCCAGCCCAGAGAGACGTGGTGGCAGCTTTTGGGCACTGTTCATTGTCCAGGACTCCTGTCTGGTCAGGAGGGTGTTGGGTGCTCTTACTTCCCCCCTGGCAGAGGAGGAGGTGCCCAGGGCTGTGGAGGTTGCTTCTGTTGTCAGCAAGGCACTTTGGTGACAGCTGAGGCTGGGAGAAGGTTTAGTCATAGCCAAATTTGTAAAGCCGTGAGTAATCATGTCAGGGCTGCTTGTGCCCCTGCTCAAGATCCAAAAGCTGCATTTTAGCTTGATGGCAAATTCATCTGGAATGGTCAGTTTTGACTTGGAGTCCAGCAGATCATTTTTGGACAGACAATCAGGTGAGAAGTGGCAGCTCAGAAAAAAATGAAATCTTGTGACCAAAATGCCAGTGGTGCCCACATTATCAAGCAAATTCCAGCTTTCTCTTCTAGGAGGAGATGTGCCTGTTGATTCCCATCAGTATCATCGTTCCCATGGGGACATTTACCAGTGGAATTGCAGGAGCTAACTTGCATTTCCTACCTGGAGCAAACAATGCCAGCGAGTTGCTGCTAGGGAAGGACCTAGGAAGTGGCACTTCATGCTGACTGCAGCATAGAAAAATTGCCCCTAGGCTCCAAAGTATGCTATTTATTTGTTTGTTTGTTTATCTATTATTTTAAATTTGTTTTTATATTGCAGCATAATCCAGTTTTCTGCCATATGAGCTAAGAAATTGAGAGAAGGATGACTGGGGAGGAAGAGAGGTATGTGTGAGCAGTATATGGGAAAATGTTCTGTGGAAAACCTGGGATGTTGGATAAATGGTTGTGTTTATACTTGGTCTTCCCTCTCTCACCTCTCTTTTGGGTTTGGCTTTGTTTTGGGTTTGGTGGTTTGTTTTCTTTCATTCTGCAGCCTGTGAGTGCATCCAGAACCCCTGAGGATTTATATCAGGTAGCACAGAGCTTTTTCCAGAAGACCACAGCAGGGTCTGTGCATATATTTTTTATATCACTCAATAGTTATGACATTCCTTGCAGGCTTATTTTAAACCTCTTTTCAGTTAGGCCATATAATATTTGACCTCATTTCTGTGGAATAGATGCATCACTGAAAAACAGGAGCTAGAAGGATCCTGCATGGAAGATGGTTACAAGTGAAGAAAATTTGGCTTTTTAAGAAGACTAAGAAAGACAATTCAGGAAGAGTTGGACTGTTAAGGTTCTCAAGCAAAAATACTCTGTAAATTCTTTGGATTTTTTTATGAAGAAAGTCTTTTGACACTAAAGACTGGAAGTCAGTTTATAGCAGCTTTTTCTGCACTGCCTAAGTGCATGTGGCATGAATAAAAACCCACAGTGTGAGGTGCTATATAAATACAGAAAAGAAAAAAAATATATTTGCCCATGCTATAGAAATCACCCATCTGTACCACACAGGGTCTCTCAGCTGCAGCTCAGTTTGCTGGGCACTGGTGCCATGTGCTAAGGCCACAGGTGGTGACAGTCATGTGTCACTTTTGTGGAAGAAGGACCCAAAAATGTATCAGCTGTGCAGCTGCATCATCCCTTATGTTCTCATGAGCACTGCATATGGCAAGGTTTCTGAAAGGATTTTGGTTCTGTTAGTGAAACAGGATAGATGGTGGCCTTTAGGGGCAATTGTCTTTCTCCAGACCCATCCTCTTAGCACCTCCTGAATGAAAGAGATGAGTTTGTTCATTAAATGGCCTGCAGTATTTTAATGCCTTGCAAATTAATTGGCATGTAAGAATGAAGATAATCCCCACTAGCACACCTAATTAGAAGAGCAATCCTCATTTTCCTCCTGCAATCTCCTCTCAGTTTAGAAGGAGCTCAGGCACAGAAATGTGCTTGTCATCCTTTGAAGTTCCAGCTTCTAGCATGAGCCAAATGTGTAATTTTTTAAAGCATTTGTATTTGAGAGAATCCCACAGGATAAATACTGGTTATTCATAGAGGAATAGATTGTCACAACATTGTGAGGCATGGATGTCACTGCAACCGGAGTACTGACACATCTGAGAAAGGAGGCTGGGGTGTGCCACTCACAGCTGATCAAATGAAATGTGCCTTTGCCTGCAGTAATCCTGATTTAGTGCAGTCACAGCTCTCTCCTGATCTGCAGAGAAACACACCGCAGCTGGTACCTGGCTGTAAAAGTCCATGTGAATTGACACTGCTTTGAAAACAGAGGCTGACTTCATTAACTGTGGGCAAGATGCTTGGGTGCTCTGGTTTTCCAGTGCTGACAGAAAAGTCTGTGGGATCCTGTTTTGGAATCCTACCCTGAAGACAGAGTTGGATATACTCCAGCCAGTTCTGTCCCTACTCCTGTCAGAGGCCTCCTACAACATTTGCAAATCTTTGTAACCTCGAACCTGATCTAATCTGAAGGTGTGAAGATACTCCCATGCAGACTCTGATGTAACTGATGGCAAAACATGCTATTTATATGCCTGCAAAAGCAGAGAACACATAAAAGGCAAATGTTTCACTTCAAATTCTTTCTCATGAGCAGCTGAAGAGGTTGAGGCCAGGCTGAATCCCACAGACAGGGGAAGATATGGGGGCCTTGGAGCCAAAGAAATTTGTCAGTCTTTTGAAACAGGCTCTTGACTTCCCAAAGCCAAGACTGGAGATTCCCAAAGAAGCACCTGCCTGTGGAGATGGGGCTGGCATAGACAGTACAGAACAGCATGCAGGAGGGAGACTGGGAGATGTTGCAGGTGGTTTGTCTTTCATGGTGGCCAGGTGACTGGCTTCTGTTACTTTGCAGAAATGCTAAACTGAATGCAAGGTGAACAAGGTGTCTGGCTTGGCCTCCTGGTTGTCTCCTCTAGGCTGTCTCCTGAAGCAGGCTTCAAATGGAGCTGGAATTCCTGCTTCCTGCTGGTGAGTTGGATTGGAGTGCTGTGCTTGTGTCCTGTTTTCTGTCTTTAAAGGCTGTGTAGCTGTAGCAGCCTGCCATTGTCAATGGACAATAGAATGGCACACGGAATGATAAGAGAGGGAACTGCCAGCTCGGTGTATAGATCCATTGTCCTCCAGGAACACTGGCAGTTAGAGGGCCATCTGCTCGGCTCTGAAGACAAACAAAAAAGAAAACTGTAAATACACTTAAAATTGGAGATGGCCCTCTGAGGGTTAATGAAAACCAAAAGGAGTTCTGGTCTTTGCCTGGCTCTGAAGGGAACTGGGTGGAACATTCAGACTTCCTCGTTTTAACTTGTCATTTAAGCTTTTTATTCCACTACGGACTAATTGGGACAGCAGAGGCTGTTAAAGGAAACGATGTAAAACTTGATCTCTGTATGTTTCCTCTGGCTCCCCAGAGCATCATCACAGTAAATACGATGTTTGCCTGTGGAGAGGGATGCTGAAAGCAGTGATTTCCCTGGTGGAACTCTTGGGGAATACTGCGTGCCATTCCCTCCCCAGTGCCATAAGTACTGGGATTACTTCCCAGTCGTTCTCGGGGTCTGGCTGTACTGGATAGGGGGTGGGGGGAGGCTGTGAGACAGGGAGCAATGAGGAGAGGGGAAGGGACAGAAACCTTGCAGGAGGAAAAGGCTGCAGCAGCACCTGAAGAGGCTTTGATCGGAAAAGGGTGTGGAAGCGCGGCGGTGATTTCTTGTGGAAGCAGTTTCAGAGGGATGGGTTACCGCACCTCCTCCCTTCGGCAGAGGCTCGGCATCCCCTTTCTGGTGGGAAAGACCTAAGGATGCTACCGCATCCTCTGGGCTGGAGAAAGAGGCAGGGAAGCCGCGCTTTCCCCCTTTTCTGAGGCACGGCGGGGCGGGGGGATGTACAGGGGTCTTGGAAGTATTAGTCGGGGACGGGAAAGGCGGCTGCGGTAGGTGCCGAGGAAAGGGAAACGAGCTCGGCTCGCCCAGCCTGTGAGGAGAAAGTTGCCCTGCTCGGGAGGGGAGGGGGCGGCCGGGGCCGAGCGGGTCCCGGGCCGCGGGGGGAGCGGGAGCGAGGCCGGCACCGCCCCCGGGGGCTCGCAGTGACGCAGCTCCCGGCGGGGCCCCCGCCCGCTCCTCCGCCCCCGCTCCCCTTTTAAACCGCGCCGGAGCCGCCGAGCGCAGCCCAGCCCAGCCGAGCATGGGGCCGCCGGCGCTGCTCGCCCTCCTGGCGGCCGCCGCCCTGGCAGGTGAGCGGGGCGAGGGCACATCCCGCAGGGAGAGCGCTGGGAAAGGCGGGGAACGGCCCGGGAACAGCCCCAGCGGGCGCGGGGAGCGGTGGAGGGATGGACGGGCTCGCTCCGGGGAGGCTGCGGTGGGTGCGGGACCCGCAGCCCGGGGTCGCCCCTCGGGAAGGGGCGGTGGGGCCGGGGCGTGGGGATGGCGCTGGGCGAGAGCTCCCCGGCTGCTCCGCCTGTATTTTTATCCCAGTGCAGCGTCTTTGCACAAAGACTTCTCGGTGCCGCTTCGGTACAGCGGTGCTGCTGGGTTTTTGCCAGCCGGTGCTGGATGCTGGGAGGTGATGGCAAAGTAGCGGCTCTGCGGGTTTAACTGTCAGGATTTTTAATTTTTTTGCACGCGGCATTAAATACTAAAACTCCACGGTGAAATGAACCTTAAGCACAATAGAATGAGGTGGTGGCTTGGCTCTATAGTGTTTTATGCATACTTACATCATTGGTTGAAAGAGTCGGTGTCATTCTGGGTTGAGTATTTTGGCTTTAGGTCTGTTAGAAGTCTCCACACTTCTGGGACTTGTACAGAGACTGTGAGGAAGTTGACTGCCTTCAAGTGCCTTTATTGAAATCAAAGAGGGAGGGTGGAATACGGAGGGGAAGAGACCCCAACACAGTGCAGCTCTCCACACTTATACCATAGATTCTATCGGGGTTTATTACCAAATATTTTTTCCTGTTTATGCCATCAAACAGATCAGGTATTTCTTTACATCCTTTACATCCTTTGTGGCTGTTGTGCTTTCAAATGTTGAACTGGTTAAACATTAACTTCAAGAACTTTCTAGTACTCCTGCAAATCAATATGCCTAAATTTCAGTGATCCTGCCTAGGAAGGCACTGTGACATTTTGATGAGGAATGACGCTGCACTGAGTCATCTGCGCTGATGAAACAAAGCCATGTGGGGATTTCATCAGGGACCCACCTGAAGATCTGTTCTAATCTTGGAGATGCAAGCAAAAACCGTGTGAATTTGTCCTGCATTTATCATTTCTTATGATATTCATCAACTCTCAGCACTTAGGCAAAATCAAATAATCTGATGGCGACTGCCTGGGCAGCCTTGGTTCAGGAGGGTAAAGCAGAGCCAGAGCTTAGCTGTGGTTTGTTTCTTGCCGTGTGTTCAGGTGCAAGGTTTCCGTGCTGGCACGTGCTCCGGCTTTGCTCTGCTCTGGAACCCTGCCGTGCTCCCATCTGCTGTGCTCCTGCAAGGCCATGGCTGGGTGCCCTGCTGCCTGAGCCTGCTGTCCCTGTCAGGGTGACGGCCTCTCCCCCTGAGCACACGTGGAGCGGGAGGCAGCCGTGTTGGCCAGCTCCTTCAGGTGGCAGGTGCCCCGAGGGAGCTCTTGCCAGCTGGCATGGGCTGGCACTGCCAACACCTGGGGAAAGTGGGGCATTGCTGGCTCCCCACTGCCTTCCTGGCTCAGCCCTGGCAGAGCAGCTGCCTCAGTGTGTTATTTCAGGCTCTGGCATGGATTGGAGGCTCATCCTGTTTCTCCAGACAGGTTAATATGGCATTTGTCCAATACCATTTGGTTTTCCTGACGTTTATGATGCTCCCTCTTTGTTCATGTTGGCTTTCACTGTTAACCAAGCTCTTGGGAGCTTTTGAATGGCAGCAAAGACAGTGGGTACAACCTGACTTTGTCTTCCTGTGCCACTGACAGCACTCAGGGGGTGGCCTGAACTAGGAAAAGATGTCCAGGAGTTTGTCTGCTCTGTGCTTTAACCCATCACCTGAGTGTCACTCACAGGAGATGTGCTGTGACTGCATCACTCAAAGGACAAAATCAGATGTTTGCCCTGGAGCCTGTCAGGTTTTCACAGGGGCTGGAGGAGCAGAGGAGCCTCCCCAAAAAGAGTCCGTGAAGGGGCTCATACCTGTGCTTTCAAGTGAGTGGAGCCTGGGAGCAGCTCCTGCTCTAAGAACAACATCCCCAACACGTGTGGGATTGAGAGAATGTCTTTTTAAGAATAACACTTGTTTTGGTGGGAGGGGCTTTGTCTCCTGCCCCGCTGTATGTGCGTGCTGCTCCTCCTGCCTGCAGCAGCCTGGAAATCTGCTACAATCATTTGCATACTGGGTTATTAAAGGAGCTCGGAGCTGCCTCAGTCAGCTCTGAACGCCAGGGATGGGGGAGAGGGTTGGCTCTGAGCAGCACCATCTCCCCTCACACACCACCTGGCACTCTGGGGGAGGGATGCAGTGCTATTTTAGGGGAATCCCTTCTGTGCTCTCCTTGTGTGGGTTCCCTTCTCTGGTGGCACTTGTATACGCAGGGAAGGGATGGGGGCTGGAGATGCACATCTCCCTGCATGTGTGTTTGGGGGAGAGCACAGAAATATCAGGAGTTATTAGTGTATGATGCTCAGCTATTACACTCTGAGTCAGTGCTCCAGGGGATGTCTGCTTCCTCTGCCAGCACAGAGAATAAAAAGGTTGTGTTGCTTTAAATAGTGTCAGGCTACGTGCTCCTGTCTTCCTTGGGACAGTGCTCATTCTCCTGATGTTGAGAGGTGAAACTAACCTCCTTTTTCTCCATGATGTGCTCATCTATTGTGCTCTATCTTCATGTGTGTTCATCTATTTCAGGAGGTCTCTCAGTGACCCAGCCAGAGAGAGTTCACAGTTGTATTTAGGACTCGTGAAAGGACTTCAGAGCTGCACCTTAAGTGTGTGTGTGTGTGTGCTGTGATTCTGCACCGTGTAGGAGGCTGCACAGCCAGGATTCAACAGGCCCTGCTTCCACACACTGCTGTGGGGCTGGCAGAGGTGCTTAACCTCACTCCTGGAAATCTCCAGGTGCATGGGAATTGACACAGTTTATTAATAACACACAGCAGCCAAGCTCATTAACCAGCTGGAGACATTGCAGCAGTGATGGCAAAATCAGGCAGCACGGAGGTTTTATTGGCAGTAGCTTCTTTCCAAAAGCAAATTCCTTGGCCCAGGTACAGTAAAACTGGTGTAAGGAGGTGTGAGTTATCCCACATGTCCTCAGGGCAGAAAGAGTGAGGGATGGGTTGTACTGCTTCCTTCCAGAGTAGTTTTCCACTGAGATTTGAGGGGGTTTTGCTTATTCCTTGGAATGATAATGGACCACTCAGTGAATAGAAATTTTCCTGTCTCTTCTGGCTCTCTCCATCCTTGCAGGAGCTGCCTCCAAGTGAGACAACTTTTCTCCAGCAGGACTGGGACAGTAGCTGCTTTAAAGTCTTAAAGAATGGTCTGCTGTTGGCAAGGGGTGCGCCTAGAGCTTCTCCAAGAAGCCAAAAGATTCTTGGGGTGCCAACAGGCCTTGTTTGTTGGGTTTGACTTACTTTTTTAACCATCAAACAGGTGCAACTACCTAAGGACTTGGCTTGAAATAAAGTTCCATTTTGGAATTTAAACATGGCTTTCTTTGGTGTTGCATTTTTTGTGGGTGGGATTATCCTTGGTCTATATTGTTTTAGTGCTACAAGTGTTACCATGCCTCTTCTCTCCTGCTATGCCTCAATTTTACGTGGCTTTTGCATCCAAATAAGGAAATATTTAATGTAGAATGTGCCTGGTTTAGCTGACTGCCAACCCAAAACCAAGCTGCTTCATCAGACCAGTTTGACTAAGGGGTCCTGTCAGTGATGCTTGTGTTAATGAATCTTTAATAATTGGTTTTTCTTCCAGGTGCCAGCACAGTTCCAATGGAAAAAGACCATACTGAAGAAATGGTGAGTAGCTGCTTGTCAATCCAACCTCAGAAAATACCAGTGATGTGTTCTTCATTTCTATAAACTCTCAGGACAATGCTTCATTTTTTTTCCTAAGGATAAGTTTTTTAAAAGCTGATGGCTGGTGTGGAACTCGGAGTGCCTTTAGCTGCCAGGAGATGCTTGCCTGCACGTCAGTGTGTTTGGTGGAAATGGGAGCTGGCTCTTGTGTCAGTACTCGTGAAGCTCTGCATTGTACAGCTGCTTGAAAAGTGATCTGAAATATTGCACAGTACATGTTACTGTGCTGACAGCTTAGGGGAAAGATGAAATATCTACAGTTACCAGCTGTGTAACAGACTTACTGGTGTAGTCCTTCCTCTCCTTTGGAAAGGGATCTTACCCTGTGTGATTAAATAAATGCCATCAGCTGCTCCCAGAGCTGACACCAGACCCCCTGCACTGGTTGTTGCTGTGATCATTTAGATCAGCAAATACCTGGTAATAACCAGAACTAGTTAAAAGACAAATGCTTCTGTAAATGTTTCATTGTCTGCTCCCAGTCATCCCCACAGATTGTCAGCCTGAGGCTCTTGTACCCCCAGCAAACAGGAGCACTTGTTCTCACCATCAGCTTCAGCACCTGAAAATCATTTTACACAGAGGAGATACTTTGGTAGTGCTTTGAATTAGAGCACATTGTGTGACTTTCCTAAATCAATCCATTTTCTCTGCTTCCAGACAATCCAGTTGAATGTTCAGTGCTAAAAACCTGGCAGGACTCAGAGCACAGATACATGAAAAGGTGTGGAGTGTGTCCCTTACCGAGGACATGGAGCTGTTTTAGTGTATTGCCAGTCCAAACTGCCTTTGCAGTATCCTCATTTGGACAGATCCTGCAGGATAATCCTCATCCTTTGAGTGTGTCTGTTTATTTTATAGGGTGTGTTACCACACGTTGTTTGACTTTCCTTTGTACTGAGGAGGTATTTAATATTTTAAAAGGTACAAAAGAAGCCCCTTAGCTCTGCAAACAAAAGGGGAGATAAAAAGACCTGTCTGTTCTCTTCCTGCTGGTACAGGAGTGAGGGGCAGAGCCCAAATGTACAGGATTACTCAAAACTCATTAATAATAGCCTGAACTCCAATCTCCAACAGGCTTTTCTACCAGCTGGGTCAGAAGTAAAGTTTCCATTTTTGCCATGAGGATTTTGTCTCCTGTTTTGTCCCTTCCAGGTAACCCAGTGCATTGTGGAGGTTCTGTCCAACGCTCTCTCTAAGCCAAATGCACCCCCCATTAATCCTGAATGCAAAGAAATCCTGAAGAAGGGTAAGTACAACATTTTCTGAATTTAGGAATTTGGTGCATAGCATGGTTTCTCTCTGGTGTTGGAGCTGGTGAACTGTTACTTCAGTCTGTGTGAAACTGGTGCCTCCAAATTTCAGTGCCAGAATTCTGGTTTCCTTCTGTTCAGTGTGTCTCGCCCAGGGAACAAACAGCCTGACCTGGGAATTCTCAGGGATTGTTGCCTGACACTTGTGGCTCCCTCCTTGAACCACCTGGAGAGTCTGAGAGGACTTGAAAAACTCTTTAGGTAGCCTGAGAAGATGAAGCATAACTATTGCAAAGCATCAGATTTCTTTGATTGGTTTTTTCAGTCAATTTTTAAAAAACTTTTAAAATTTGCTAAAAAGAATCCCTGGTGGGTTTGGGTAGTTTGGAATAAATGGTTATCTTTTTATTGTGAATAAGCATCTGTGATGGGCCTGATCTGGCATTCAAAGAACTGAACACAACTCCAGATCCTATTGATTTTTAATGGGAACGAGAGCTAGCTTGACTCAGTACTAAAAACGTGATCACAGAAAAGCCAAAGAAGGAAATTTATTCTGGAAATTCCAGGGGAACTTGTAAAATGCCTAATTAAGTGGAGTTAATTAGTTAGTTAATCCTTTTCCAGGCAAGCATACAAAATAGAGGCAAACTAATGATTTTGAAAGCAGAATTAAGAAATCAGTTCTGTCCAAATTTCCTTGGTACTTTGGGAAGCCAGTCATCTCTTTGAAATAACACTTCAGTGGAGGGTTGGATTACTCCATGATGCTGCTTTTGTTATTGTAGGTGATAAAAATGACAGAGAGAGAAGTGAAAACGAACAGCCTGAAGTGAGGCATCCCAAAGACCCAGCAGAAACTGAAAAACATCCTACTGGGAGTGTGGAGAAAGAACAAAGGCAGGCAGAAGAGGAATCTAAAAAGCACATGGAAGGAGGTGATGAGGAGAAACTTGCTCATGAGGAAGGTGAAAGCAAGGAGGAGGCTGGACACCACACTCCTGCTCAGGATGAGACACTTCACACGGAAGAAAAAAAGCACTACCAGGAAACTGGGAGAGAGGAGGAGAGGAGTTACCGCAGTGAAGAGGAAAGCAAAGAGGGCAAGTGTTGTGAGAATGTAGAGGCTGCTGTTCTCACCAAGAAGTCCCACTCTGAGAGCATGAGCATGGATGAGTTCCGTGGTGGGAATGATCAGAGCCCCAGGGGCCGCTGGCACCTGGAGGAGGGAATGCAGAGCCCTTCCAAACAAATTCGGGAAGATGAAGAGGGAGAGGAAGAAAGGAGTGAGAAATACCACCGTGAGTCTCAGGAACGTGGTTTTTCCCACCAGCAGGAGCGTGAAGAATCTGAGGAGAGTGAAGAAAGAGAGGAGGGAAAGGAGCCCTTCAAAGGCAAAGGTTACCATGGGAAGCACAGGCCGGGTGACTCCTATGAAGAGAAGAGGGGCCATGGTGGTGAGAGGGGGGAGCCAGCAGGGGGATCACACCCAGGGGAGGCCAATCTCTGGGAGCAGTGGAAGCACCGACAGAAACATCAGGAAGAGTCTGAGGAGAAGGGTGACTCTCCTGGGAGGCGTGGGCCCGAGGAGCTGCAGGAGGAGAGGCCTGCAGAGCAGGGCAGCGAGGAGCACAGGGACAGCTGGCAGCAGAGCCAGGAGAGCAGGGAAGAGGAAAACAAGAGGCACCACCACAGCAAGGAGAGCAGTGAGAAGTGGCACGAGGAGAGGAGGCAGCACGATGGATCCCACCGTCCTGGGGGGAGGATGTACCTTGCTGATGGAAACGAGGAGGAGCTGGCCAGGTACGTCAGCGAGGAGAAGCAGCGCCGTGTGGGAGGGAGAGCCCGCTTAGGGAACAGGGAGCAGGAGGGCTCCCAGAAGGCTCGAGAGCACAAGGGGCAGGCCAGCAGGCACTACAGCACTGAGGACAGCCTGGAGGAGGAGGAGGTGGAAAAGAAACATCACAGCAGTGACCAGGTGGAAAATGAAGAGGAGGAAAGGTTTGCAGAGAGAGAAGAGTACAGAGGCCATCTCCCCGCCGAGAAAGAGAAGAGAACTGCAGCATCCTACAGGCCTTTCTACCCACTGCTGTGGTGGAAAAGCCGGCACTTGGACAAAAGGGACGGTGCAGGGGAGCAGCTTCTGGAGGGCAGGGAGGAAGGCAGGCCTGCCCTGAGTGAGAAGAGCCTTTTCCCTGAATACAATGACTATGAGTGGTGGTCAGAAAAGCAGATCCAGAATGCTCTGAAGCACAGGCGCAGCGAGAAGAGGAATCCTGGCAAAACGAACAGATACGATGTGGAAAGGCAGTACAAGAAGATGGATCAACTTGCACAACTTCTGAACTACAGGAAGAAGTCAGCTGAACTGCCAGGGCTGTACAGCTCTGGAGAAGACCTGAAGAAGCGTCACATGGCTGGGAATGACAGAAGGAGCCTAAGCCAGAGGCCCCTGACAGAGGAGGAGGTAAGTGCACAGCAGTTCATCTGAAAAGCTGGGGGAAACACACTTCCCAATCCATTCCCAAGGCAGCTGGGAAAGTGCATGGAAAAACACAAACAAGATTAAGTCACAGTTAAGGTGTGAGTAGATCTTCAGTGATTTAAAAATCTGCTTTCTTTGAACAGTGGAACTTTGAGTTTGCTGAACTACCCCAGGGCACAATTTGTGGCATAAAGACACAGCTCCCGTCTGCTGCAAGGCAGGAAGGGAAAGATTTTATTCCTCTTGGGTCCTGCCTCTCCCTCGAGGCTCTACAGACTGACAAAAGAACGGTGCCATTGCAGCAGGGGCAGAGAGGAAACTGACAAGCACCACTTGGGCTGTTTCAAATACCGAGCTGAAAAGTGAGTTGGGTGTTCAGAGGGAAATCAGCTGCCCGTGGGCTTCCCAGGCAGAATTGCAGAGCAGAACCTGCATTGCACCTCTAAGTCCAGTTTCCGGGTGTAGTTCACACATAGTGAATCCTCTTCTTTTTGTTGGACTTCTTGTTCTGCTCCAGTATCCAGGAAAACCGAGCCTACAGCCACCAGTTAGCTCCCATCAGCCAGGTCCTCCTGGTGTGTGCCACTGTGTCTGTGCACCGCACAGAGCTGTGCTGGGAGCAGGGGAGGCTGGACACTGATTTATACAGGTGTTACTTGGTGTTTACAAGTCATCCTGGTAAGGGCTTGGCTGCATAAAGCTTCTCCTGCCCTCTGTGCCTGTGGAGCTGTGCCCTCACTGCACCCTGTGCTGGCTGTGGGACTCCCCAGGGACAGCACCTGCAGCTGTGACATGGCAGGAGGCCACCTAATGGAGGGCAGTGGTGCTTTAAATCTACAAAGACGAGGCTGTAATTATGGCCAGCTCTCACAATTAAAATTTTGATGCTTTCCTCAGCCTATGTTCGATCCCAAGCAGGGAATTTCACCAGTCTCCCAAGACTTTGCTGCACTGCTGTTAACGCCCGCTCTGCTCAGGGACTGGGAAGTGGCAGGACAGAATCTGCCTCAGAAATGGCCTTTCCTCTCCTTTCCATGGAACAAAACACTTCCCAGCGTTAACAATGATGTGTGAAACGCTCTCTGTTTTCACAGGAAAAGCAGCTGGAAAACTTGGCCACCATGGATCTGGAGCTGCAGAACATAGCAGAGAAGATCAACAGCCTCAGGAGAGGCTGAAGGTGTCCTGTGTTCTGTGGTAAAGTCACTGCCACTGGATTGTTGTTTGCCCTAAACCCAGGAAATTCTATTCACTGTCCACTCTTGTGTAGTGATTTACACAGCTGAAAGTGTCTTTAATTTGCTGTTATGCTCCTGAGACCTGAATGGCATGAATTTTAGTAACATAACCTTTCATGTGGGCAGGTATTTTTAATATGCTTTTGGAGATAATTGTGTTAGTGTTCTTCAGGAATATATTTGTCTGAGTTTGCAATAATAAAAACCATTGATCTTGGACCAAACCTTCTCTTTGTTCATGTGGGGTGATGATGGGGTGATCTCAGAGAGAGCTGGATCAGGTGTAGATTGTGCACAGAACAGTGGTGCTCCACCACTCTCTTAAAAGTTACAAGGAGCCCATCTGTGCATTTTGTTTGCCACTTGAGCATGAGAGGGAAGAAGGAATCTGAAGTCTCAATAGTGATTTATTTCTTGCTTCCTTCCTCATTTTCACTGCATTTTACAAGGATTATGGCACAACTGAAAACTGGGATTCAGTGTTGAGACTGTGTCAATGTCACTGCTGGTGAAATGCAGCCAGTTTGGCTTTGATCCAAATTCACTCCTCATGTGTTCCAACATTGTTTATTTCTCAAACTGATCTATTATGCAAATATGTTTTTCTCATTGTTATTGTTTTTTATTGTCACAGTATCTAAGCTAAGCAGCCATCTAGAATGAAGAGATGGTGAAATCTACATCCTCTCCTTTTATGGTTGTTCACACAGGGAGGAGAAGAAAAGAGAGAACTTCCCAAAAAGTAGAAAAACAACACTGGGAAGTTTATAAAAAGCAAATGTGGATAAAACCTGAAGATGTAGTGTACCTGTTCTCCCAAGAGGAAACTTAAAACTGCTTCTTTCCATGAAATACAATCCCTGCTTTCAGCTAAGGCTGCCCTAAAAGAGCATTACTCTCCTCAAAATACTGAATTTTACAGCTCTATCAAGTCTCAGCACTTTATCCCAAAGCTCCAGGTTCTGTCCAGTCAGTCCAGACCCTGATGAGGGAGTTCCAGAATGGAGGCCAAGCCCTCCAGGCCCTACGAGCTCCCACTGAGGTGTAATGGGGTGCAGCCACAGAGTATTGTCCTCCTAAAGCCTATGCTGGACCTTTTTATTTCTAAAAAGAGGGAAAAGTAAGAAAAAAGATAAATCTCTTTAGGGAAAACACCCTGTAGTTTAATTGAAATGGCAAATGCAAAGTTAAAAAAAAAATAAAAAAAGCCTGACATCTGAAAGATCGAACAGTAGAATAAATAAATATACATACAGCAGTTTTCAAAATAGTAATATCTTAAAAACATACAGCAACTCTCAGAAAATGTCTTGGAAAATGACAGACAATATTAATAGTGACATTGTTTAAATATTTAGTATTTTAATTTAAGAACATGCACTTCCTCATCTGTATTTATTTCAGAAAAATGTGGAGTCATGCTGTAAGCATGAGGTCATCTCTACTATTAGATTTCTCTTTTTATTGTTCCTTTGGAAAACAAAAAGTAGGATTTTTCCTGTTCATTCTACTTTGTTAAATCACTGAACAGAGCTGAGTTCTGTGTCCCAAGTGGGAGCAGACCACCACGTGGAATCCTGGGGAGAATCCTCTGGTGCCTTTCTGGGAGAATGGAAAGTTAAGCTGGATGTGTTGATTCCAACTCAAGCTTTTTAAAAACTACCTCATACTCAGATTTGGCAGCAAACAAACAGAATGCCTGCACTGAGGCTTTGTCTTCTCTCGATCTTCTCTCCCTCTTGAAGTTCCTGTGAGTTCAGTGGGATGTTTGCTCCCAAGGGTTTTCCTTGACATTCAGATGGTGTGAACTGCTGAGGAGCAGGTGAGTCCTCCCTCTCCTGCAGTTCTGCTGCTTTCTCTGACAGATGCACGACAGGCACAGCCCTGTGCTGCCAACAGCACAGAAAGGACTTGTTATTTCACTAAACTCCTGAGATCCAAACCATGAGTCATTCTCCAAATGTTAACAAGGAAGGTCTTGAAGTTTGCATCTTTTAGATGACGGCTCTTCCATCTTCAGTGCGTCTGAGTTACTGGAATCAGATTTGCCCTTCTCCAAGACAACAGTGATGCCAGACAGGAGGTACCCTCCACCTCCACTCATGGTCAGCTTGGGATGGCTGCGATCTGGTAAAACCTTTAAAACAAATAAACAACAACAAAACACACCCAAAACTCACCCCACAACCAGCACCTGTAAAAATCCACTCTGTGTGTGCGTATCATGTTGAGTAATTTCAGCTTCCAGGACAGGATCTAAATTTTTTTCCTGGCCACAACAACAAATGGCCATTTGGGAAGTGTATTTATCTTTAAAGTAGCTGCAGCGGCGAATCCAGTTGTAGAAATCCATAATAATAAATTGCTGCCTCACTGGTTACTTCTTCATGGCATTGCCAACAAAAAAGATATATATATATATATAATAAATATCTATATAAATAAATATAAGTATCTATTATAAAGCCAAGGTTTGAGGCCCATGAAAGTGCCATGATGTGCTCAGAGGTGAGGTAGTCTGCAAGAAGCTACAGCTGCTGCACAAACCAGCCCGAAGGGATTCTGTGCTTTCCAGTTCTGTCCCTGTCACCTTTCTGCAACCCCAGCACACCTTTGTGTAAGGACTGTCCCTCCAGCTGTGCCTCCTCCTTGCCTGACTGTCACTGCAGGTCTCAGAGGTTTTACCTGTGGCCAGGACACTGCAGTGCTGTTCTCACTGCACCTGCACACAGGACTCCTGGTCAGGCCCACCTTGTGTGGACATCTGTCACTCTCCTGCAAGTATTTCAGCAAACGTTTAATAAAATGCAAGAAAGTAAAGTGTTTCCATTGGAAATGGTGACAGTGAAGCATTAAAGCTCTTCAGAACACCCAGTACTCTAGGGCAGAGAAAATGCCTGAGCTGAGACATTGTTTCAGTCAGTCCAACCTCCCCCTGTTTTCAGGGAACGTTCCTCTCCCCAGAATTCCCATGGTTTTGGCAGCCCCTACTGCCATCCTTACCTGGTAGTTCCGTAGCCATGTTTCTGACAGTTTCAGGTTGATGACTCCACCTCTTTCTCTCAGCTTGGTGTAACATTCTAATAATGGCTTAGAAAAACCAAAGAGGAGGTTACACAGCAGAATGGCACCAAGCCTGAACTGTAACAGCTGAAGTAACATCCCAATTTACCTCTTTATATTGGCAGTAGACAACAAAAGGCCTCGAAGGAGCAACAAATTCCAATAAAGAAAGTAACAAGGGTGTGGGATGAAACTTGCTGGCTACAATTAAGCTGCAAAAAAAGTTTCACGCAGATTAGTTTTCTGCTTCTGAAACCTACTCACCTAGTGACATTTCCTCCTGCTTAGCACAGCAATCAATTACAGCTTCGAAGTGTCTCATCAGCATGTTTTCATTGCTCTGACAACTCCCCAAATGTAGAAACAAATCATTACTTCCTACTGGTGTAATTAAAAGGCTGAAGCATTGCTCCCCAAAGTGCAGAATATTAAATGCATTGCAGGAGCACTCACTTCAGCTGTGTCGGGCTCCACAATAATTCTTACAGTCTAAGAAATTTCATGTTGCTTGCTCTGCCCCAAGACCATTCTCCAAATACAATTTAAGTTTTGTGACTGCCAAATGTTGCTTAGAATGTAACCTCAGTTGTGACTCTTTAGACTGAGTAGTCTTCATTTAATAGTTTTATATAAAAAGAATATGTAAGAAAGAACAAATCCTTAAAAGGCATAACTAAAAACCTTTTAAAAAGAAACTGCCCTTGACAAACTAAAGCCTTCATATTTTACTCTCTGTCTTCATTTTAACATCACACAATAACTGCACAATAACTTGGATCTACAGATGGTTGAGATTCTCTACCACTATTTCCAGTTTTAATCCAAAAAGTCACTGCTGAACTACACTGCAAGAAATGGTTGATAATTAGTTAATTAGCTATCAAGTTGTGCTTGTGCAGAAAGAAGGAGCTAATTAAACTCCTTCACAGTGTACAGAGACTACTGAGATGCCCCATCAATAAACATTTGTTCTCCAGGGGAACGTGTAGCTCTGGAGCAGAGTTAAACTTGTCTGGCAAAAATTGATGTTCAATTTTGTAAATACAGCAGAGATAAGGAGGTGAGATAATTCTTTTTCAATTGTTCCCACTTGGGTTGTTTGCCAGCCATGGCCTTGCAGACCATTTACTTCTAATGCAAACCTCAAAGGAATTGTGCTCCATCATGAACCAAGCAGGTCATAAAGGAAAGACTCATCCTGTGCCTTGGAATGCTGCACCGGCACTGCCAGGGGCTCTGCCACACTCCAGGAAGGGAAGTGAGGGCTGAGAGACTGGGCAAAATCAAATGCTGCTCTTTCATGTGGCAGCACAGATTGGTGCCAGCAGGGAGCCTGGCCAGGCACAAAATGGATGCAGTGGGTGAGGGGGGAGCAGGAAGGGGCAGAGGGAGGGAGATGGTCTAATTCCAAACATTTGGCATGCCTATGAACAAATTTCTGTTTCCATAGAGTCAGGAAAATGGAACAGTCTATCTCTAAAGTCTTCTTTAAAAGAATACCAAATACCTAATGACCATCTTCCTTTTTCCCCTCAGTGGCCTAACACCAGAGCTCAACTCTCATCAAAGGAATTGAACCAACAGATCCAGGACAAACAATGTTCTACCACACAACAGCACAGAAGGTAGAAATTTAACTGGAATGGTGTCTTCTACATTCAGTAATAAATACTGTTAAATTCAGGTACCTGAAGTTGGTACCCACCTTCACCTAATGAACAGCTTTTCTCTACTCTGCCAGAAAGTCCCAGTCTTTCTCCCCACCTCCAATGTTAAACACCTTTTTCCCTATCCTTTCCCTGTTTCTCTCCTGCAAAAAATCCCTGAACCCTTCTTTTCCCTGTCTGTTTCTAGTGTTTAATTTGAAGCATTTCCTTATTCCATGCCAAGTTTTCTGTGGTTCCTGATCTCAAGGAGCAGTGCCTATAAAAGGCAGATGACTGAAGAAGGGGGATCAGCCCTCTGGGACAGTGCTCCCAGGCACCATAAATTCTGTTTACCCCCATCCTGCTGGAGCCTTCCTAAAGCCAGGAATCACTCATCCCTTCAGGAATGTCATTTGTTACAGCTTTCATGCATTACAGAGGACAAGAGGAGGATAAAAGTGATTGAAAACAAATAAACCAGAGACAAATACTAAATGGGCCTCCTTGAACTCAAT